CCACAAAGCTCAAACCAGTCCTCTCATGAGAAAGCTAGAAGAATGAGGAAGTGTTCCATCGTTTCACAAAAAAAACTGGCTCAGAAGAAAATAATCTCTGTATGTAGCACTGAAGGTAAAGGAAAATTGAAGCCATAAAACACAATGTTCATATCAAGCGTAATTGAATTTCGGATTGGCTACTCTATATTTTAAATGACTTCCCACTATTAAAGATAACCTGTCCAAAAACATTCGCGTGTGATTTTACAGAGAAGATATATTCGAGGCAAGCAAGATTAAAGGATTTATAGAGAATGATATCCTGGTCCATTTTCAAAAAAGAACTGCAGTTTCTAGCAGTGTTCACAAATCTGGTGGCGGGCATCAGCTTAAGGAAGCATTGAAGGAATTTGTGTTACTAAGGGTCCATTCACAAATTTTCCTCATCTGTACTCAAAAGGGGCTTGGGCCATTTCCTCTGGGGACATTATTTCTAGGTAGGCTCTAACAGGGTTTTCTTGTGAAGGCAGATTCTTAACAGAAAAATAGGATCTGTGTACGTTAGGTAGTAAAGACATATTTATCTTTGAAATAGTGTGCTCCTATTTGTGCATTTCTCTACTGCATTTGACAAAATAAATAATGTCCATTCCCTTTCAATCCCATAACTGCTTGGGACACGGTTTCACTTAGGAGCTATTTTACCTTCGTATCTAGACTGAACACCCAACCTTGCAAGAGATGGCAAGAGTCTTAGAATATCAAACTCTGGAGACATTATAAATGCTTCTTTTCCATTGTTGGTGACTTATTCTTACAGACTGAAGCATTTCCCATTCGGGGTGTTTTTCTCAGTAGTATTGAGAGTGTTTTGTTTTCTGGGAAATATCAGTTGCTGGTAAGTATTGTGTCCAGTCTATAGGAGACGGCCAGGGAACTTGTCATAGAATCATGACAGGTGCAGGTTGGAAGGCTGAGAGCCGAAAACCATGCATCATTTTCATTTAAATATGAGAGGTGAGGTGACTTCAAAGGGCTGTGGGTGAGAGCTGACTGTGACAGTCAGGATTTGTCCACTACATTGTGGCTATCTCTGGCTCCACAGAAACAATTCTCATATGGGGGTCTGACCCTGAAAATCCAACTAAGCCAAATAGTCCAACTGTCTCCTCCGCCTTAACCTCAAACACAGTTCCTATCTCTTCCACCTCTTGGTGTGTTTCATCACATAGGCCAGCACTAATCATACTGATTGTCCTCTACATTTGCTAGAATGGAAAAGAAAAGATGCTCCCGTCTGCTGCCCAGCATAAGTGGGCCCTTCATAAATGCTTTTGGATGAGAGCAGTGATGGCCTCGGTCAGTGTGGTTGGGCCTTCCCTTATGGAGGAGGAAAACCAATGGTTGTTGCTAAGCAGCGTTTTAGGATTGGGTCAGTTTCTGACCCTGAGTGACCTCTGTATGCATACTTCATCATGATATGTTCTTTATGGTCACCTTAGCATGACTTGGCTTTTTGGTGGCATTGCTATGCCCGTAGCAACAGACTCACAGGAGAGCAATTTAGGCATGAACAGGAGGGAGGTGGTATTCATCTGTCACTATTTATATAGCTTACTGCTTCTGTAATCAATGCAGGAAAGATGAGGAGTTTGGCTTCTTCTCAGCCTTGTAGCTGAGAGCCACTTGCCCTGCTCCCATGTTGGGACTGAATGACACTGTATCCCAACAGGATTTTTGTGGCCATGGGAGGTCTTAGAACGAAAGGAAGGAGAAAAGTCTTTCCCTTCCTAGCCTTTTATTATTGAATTTCTACCTGCTTCTCTATTCTGAGCACAGGGGCCAATATGACTAATAAAGAACTGGCCCCACTCTCTCCAGACTATTAAAACTGTTGTGGTCAGGCGCCTGGGTGGCTCAGTTGGTTAAGTGACTGCCTTCGGCTCAGGTCATGATCCCGGAGTCCTGGGATCGAGTCCCGCATCGGGCTCCCTGCTCAGCGGGGAGTCTGCTTCTCCCTCTGCCCCTCCCCCCTCATGCTCTCTCCATCTCATTCTCTCTCTCAAATAAATTAAAAAAAAAAAACAAAAAAAAAACTGTTGTGGTCAACTAACATGCCCTAATATATCTGACTATTCCTACTAGGATGAGAGCTGATTAAAAGAGTGTTTGTTTGGTTTTGTTTTGTTTTTTGTTTTTGTTGGTTTTCTTGGTGTTTTTTGTTTTTCTTTTACTTCTCTATCTTTAATACTTTGCCTGGCATAGTTTAGATGTTCAAAAAATATTTATCAAATACCTGATAAAATGGTTTTATTTGAACTAGTGCAAACCTGATTGACTCCAAAATCTTCCTAAATATTTTACCGACCAAAGGAACCAAAATGAGGATGGAGCGTTTGAATGTTACATTTGGCTAAGTCTTATGCAGAGACATAATTAAAGAAATCATTGGTCTCTGCTTTTTTTCCAAGATATTTTTGCAGTGCTCCAAGTACAGTTTCCCTCTTTGCCAAAATTTAGCTGATCAATCAGAGCATACACACCTGTCTTTTCCGGCTTCTAAGTCTTTAGTGTAAGTGCCTGACTTTTGAGAAGTAAAAATGAGAGGCCCCTATGACCAAGCAGGTTTGTCTTGAAAAATAAATAATTTGGAACTTACGCGGTTCACCTGGAGTTCAAAACTGCATAGAGGTTCCATCAGTAAAACACACTAGCCGAGACAATTGATCTGGACATCCCTGGTTATTGTTACTGACATAGTGTGTCATGGGAAAACACACAGACGCAAGCAGGGTTCCCCCAGAACCTCTCCGAGGACAATGCATTGTGCAGTGAGCCAGCAGGCAACAATGCTAAGCTGCGTTGCCTTCAGCTAGAAAGGCTGGTCTCCTGGGCTCAGGCAGTGGCACGACGGGGGCTTGGATGCTTGAAGTGAAGCCATTGTTGGTGCAGGATGCTCATTTGAAAGGAGAAAGCCTCACAGGAAAGGGAGCCAATTGCGTGTGGGGGCTGTTGCCATGGTGCTTTGCTCTGGCTTTAACATGCTGTACTTGAACTTCTGAGAGTCCAAGGGTGGGGTAACGGAGAGAAGGGAGAAGGAGGGGAGTGGGATGGGCCTGGGAAGCTCTGCGGTGGGACTCTCCTCTTCGCCTTTCCTCTTGCCTGTGCCCTCTGAGGCTGACAAGGAAAAGGGGGCAGGGGGGGCAGGAGGGAGGGAGAGAGATTGAGTCTACAGGAAGGGAATGACTTTTCTCAACATGCCCTAGATTGCTAAAATGAAATAAAATTTAGTTTAACTCCTAAATATTACTAACATGAATTAGATGTTTAACACTCAAATACCAAAGCAGCGTAATCCTTCATAACCCAGATAATTCACCCTTCATGCAGCAAATGACAGCTTACATTTCCTAACACATTCTGGATCCTAGATCGAAAGGTCGAACGTGTTTAATTCACTTGTCGAATGCAATCTAATATGCATATTAATAAGCTGATGGAGTGGAGAGAACTGCATTCTGCAAATGAAGTAATTTTTAAATGAAAGAAGTTTATTCTATTCCCACTTGTTTCATTGTGAAGGATGGCTGAACGCATTGTCACACGCCGTCAGTGTGCAAAAAATCCTCCCAAAAGCTAGCTTTAAAAAAAAAAAAAAAATCTTTGTAGTCTGAAAGCCTAGTCTGAAGACAGGCACAGTTCTAACCTGTTCTCAGTTTTTTTAAAAATGTTGAGAGAGTAAATGACTCAAATGCACCATCCCTCTGAAACCATTAGCGTGACTGAGCCTGTGTGGAGGATGGTCTGCAGTGGAGAGAGGGTTAAGAACACCTAGTTGAAATGGGGGAGGGTACTGACTTCAGATTTACTTAAATATTCATGGGGCTTCCTCCATTTTAATCTTCTCCTTTTTAAAAGATGGCTGTGCTTCCCAGTCTGGCAACCCCTCAGGAAAGAAGAATCGCTCCTTCCTTGCAGAGTTCAGCTGAGCAGGACTAATCTAGAGTGGAAACCCCTTCGGCCACCAGGACTATTCATAATTCATAAGTGCTGCAAACCAGCCAGCTGAATACATTTAGACAGGCTCTTGTTCCTTCGTGCAATTCCTGATTACATTACTCTCTCTGCCAGGAAAGAAGCAGGGAGCATAGGCTTCTTGTAAGAATGGAGTGCGAAGATGGGCTTTGTCTGGATTAGGAAATGCCCTAAATTTTGGAGACTTTGTCTTTTATAAGTTCTGATTATTTTACCACTGAATCTGCTCGGCTTTCCCGGTCCTTTCGGGGGTGCTCTCTCAGCACAGTGAATTCTTTCAAAGGGATTTGTGGATTGTGGCAAGGAGAGCATTCCAAAATGCCTGAGGCAAACTATTTGTTATCTGTATCTTGGGGTTACATCAAGGTGGGTTAATTTGATTCTGTTATATATCTTTGATAGAATGTGAAACATTTACATCTGTGTGCTTTCTGTGAAGTAGAAAAACATCTGTAATGATTTAATTTGTGCTGTCCCTTAGCCCACGGAGGCTGCTTATTGTATAAAGGCATGCTGTATTACATCGTATTTAAGTAGACTTTGCTGTATTTTAATCCAATTCTTTTTATGCGGCTCGAGGATTTTTAAAGGATGCTTCTTTTTCCCCTTAGTGTTCTCTTCAACTTTTCACATATAATCTCCTCTCAAGTAATATTTTCGAGTTAATTTCCAATAAATGTGTTTTAAGAGTTGTTACATTTTTCAAGTGCAATTATCTTGACCTCTATTAAAATTCCTTTTCCTATGTTTGCATCTTCAGAAGAAATCAGATGTTAATTCTAAGAAATCTCAAGAAAACCTCTTTTTTCCCTAAGGTGACATGGGAATGGTTTCGCATTAAAGGGGTGTTTTGTAGAAGCAGAATCATTTATTTAATGGTATCTGCTCCTCCGATCTCTTGGTTCGTAGTAAAGTTGAAAACATCTACAGTGATCATTTGCTAGTTTTTAGGTGATTAATACATTTTTCTTCTTCATACACAGTTCAAAAGAATGCTGAACCGGGAGCTGACACACCTTTCAGAGATGAGCCGATCAGGGAACCAGGTTTCTGAATACATTTCAAATACTTTCTTAGGTAAGATATTAACTGGGAAATCTGTTCCGTAATTGAGATTTTTCCCTATTAATCTCTGCAACCCATCAGCAACATCCCTATATGAGTTTGGAATGGGGTCAAGTCACAGAAAAAGCCATTTCAAATAAGAACTAAGGACAACATTTAAGGTAAAAAAAATAATAATAATAAGCAGAAAGATGTTAAAAAAAAAAAAGAAAAGAATGACATCAAAGACAGAGGTTATTATAGGCTGATTGTATTTCTATGTACCTCAGGTCACCCCTTATCCATCCACCTTCTTCCATCTTGGCCAAGACCTCTGAATGGGGTCAGGGTGGGGGTCCAGACATCTAAACCTGAGGGACCAGTCTGTTGGCTCCTCTGATGTGGTATTCTTTACATTCTTCCAATAACTGGACTTGGAGCAAAGGATTTCCTCTTAGGTGGTTTGTAAGAGATATGGTTGGAGAATAACGGTGTGTTGATTTGGGCCATGGGAATTAGCTTTGGAAGTAATTTGACTATTGCTTTGCTAAGTTATTGCTTAAAGATCAATGGGAAGAGAAGAATCTTCACATCTCTGAAAGATGTGGCTTTCTGCAAGCTGCATCATTATCTTCCCAATCTGATGCTTTTTATCTGTTGTGCTCTGTTGTCATATTGCTGGTATTTAACACATGACACTGTCAGAACACGTTTGCATCAGAGATCCTCAGCTACTGTCACAAGTCCTGTTTGATTACTCGGGATTTCTCATCTCATGTTTAAAGCCATTCTACTGTATAGTGAACCTATTTGGATTATATTGTTCTTTAATAAGGCCTGCAGAATATGCAAATCTGTACTTTAAAATAAATAGGTAGCATTTAGATTCTGATTCTGTTGACTTTCAAATACTGCTGAATTATGCCCATTTACAGAACTCCACCATACAGGGAACCAACACATTCTTGCAGCTGAACATCACACCTCCCTTCTTTTTTGGCATTGCGATACATCATTAAATCCATGACCATGTGCCTCAGGGCTTTATGGCAACACACACGTCTTCTGGTTTTATTTTAAAAAATCAATCTTGTTTCTCTAATTCCAAAGCAGTTGCTGCTGTCAGCCGATCAATCTTTGATCAGCCTGGTGCAGAGCTCACGGCATTTCCCGGCCGCAGATGGGCAGGGGTACGATGAACAAGTGTCTTTCTGTTTCCTCTGTGGGTGCCTTCTGCACCTGGTTTTCTCCAGTGGCAGTTACAACACCTTTGTCAGGGAACGAAGGAGAATTTTCATATAGCCTAGCTCCAAGAGGCAGCTAGAATCTAATTGAACAGCAAGTGTTATATACCGATCCTTTTCTTCTCCATCATCCCCCCTTCGTTCCTTTGAAGACAGACAGCTTCCACTGTCCCTCTCAGATGTACTCTACTCTGTGCAACACCCAATTCTTTTTCATAAACTGGGAGTCTTATATTTCCCAGGTTAACGACTGTGGGAGAGAAGAAGAAAGTCGAGTAGTGCAAGAACTCATTTGTGTTCTCACAAACATTGCGTTTTAAAATGCCAGGGCTTGTCTGTGTCTTGGGAGAGACTCTCACGACTGGGGTAAAGCTACAGGAGCCCTTTGTCTTCCAAGACCGGGCGGAGGCAACTCTGTGCGCTTGTAGCAGCTTTCACCAGCGACTTGCAGCTTGCCAAGGACGGCACGACTAGCTTAGCATACTGATCTCTTTTTTATCATCATAAGCTATTAAGTGAGAAAGCTGATAAGATAATAAAGATGAGCTCTCAGGGTCAACACTGTGTATCTCGAGAACAGGCAAACGTCAACGCTCTCTTGAATATTTCATTTGCTGTTTGGCACATCTCTTGAGGAAAGCCAATCTTTTGGCTTCTCGTTATTCCAAAAATTAAATTATCGAGAACAGGTTGTTGGGGAACGTGTTAGAATCTCAATTCTTAGAGATTCAGCCTTAGGAGGGTGTGTGTGTGTGTGTGTGTGTGTGTGTGTGTGCACAAGGTAGCCCTGATCAAACAGATTAGACAGATTAAAATTTTAAATATTCTTGGAAAAATATAGGGAAAAAACATCCCTCATATCAACAAAAGATACATCAGTTACCTCATCTGTACAAGGAGAGCACTGTGACTCTGATACGGACTGAGTTGATCAGTTTTGCTAAGACATACCTGGCAGTCTGGATTCTCTATAATGGGCTGTAGGCCTGCAATTGGGTAATCCTAAAAAGCAAACAAACGAACAAGACCTTGCTTCCAAACTGCAAATGTAAGACATGGAACTCTTAATCCTATTTTGTGGGGTGAATATTCCTGGAGGAATATTCCTGGAGAAGCATGAATGAAGCCTTCTTTATAAACTGTCAGATCCACAAGGGACCTTAATGGCCTTGTCATCCAATTCCCTCATTTTATGGGAGAGGAAACAGGCCCAGAAGGGCAAAGTAACCTAATCAAGATTACTTGGCTACTATGTCCCTGAGCCAGAACTAAGGCTTTGCTCTCTTGATTCCCAGACCTAAATACCCTGTTACTACTTTAACTAGGAAAGAAGATTGTTAGAAACTCAGACCATATAGAAGAAAATCACATTAAAGGACATTCAAGTAATAGCTATATTCTTTTGGGGAAAAATCTTTAGGAATCATGATTGTTGGACCTAAAAATAAAATATGTTTTTAACCTTTCCCAGTAACATAAAAGAATTTTGCCAGAGCACGGTAACCATCTCAGTGAGCAAAAAATGGGAAGACCTTAGTGCTTTAAGTTAAAATTAAAGAGCATTTTTGCAATAAGAGTCATTGAACGTTAAAATGTGTCATCCAGGAAGGAGGGAATCCCTTACTCCAAGGAGCTGGGAAACTTGTGCTGTTTCCATCTAAGAGGATGGTGTCTAGATGGACAAGTTGAGAGGCAGGCAAGAGTCCATTTACCAAAGCAACCCACCTATTGATGCTCTTACATGAAAATGAGCTCCAGGTGGCTGGCCCCAGAGGAAGTAAAGCAGGATCTGCAGGAAGGGAGCATAGGCAAAGCAAAATATTTAGATATAGTATTATAATTTAGTAAGTATTTTTACAAACAGAGAAGACTCATTCTTGTAAATCCCCGACTATGTCTCAAAAGCTAAAACATAGAATTTCAAAGATGCAAGGAGAAAGAATTTAGAAAGTCTGCATGATTAAACGCTGTGCTCTAGTAAGAAAAGCACTTCAAATTAGGCCATTAACAGGGTTTTGACGTGACCATATTTTGCATTTGTTTTTTTGTTTGTTTGTTTCTTTGATTTATGCTGGCCCACTATTTCCCCACTATATTATAACCATTCTGGGAATGTAAATTCACTAAGTGTTTATGGCGATTCTTTGAGTCTGTGTTTCAGGTTATTTCCGCAATGCCCTGGCTACGCTTTTAACAGAGGAAATTCAGAATAGGGAAACCCATCAGTTGTTTCAGTGCCTGCCTGTATAGGGAAACACCCATTAATGTCAAATTGGTGCTGTCCGTGAATAATGGCTTTCTTCTTTACTGTAATGTTCCAGACATAGTCGTGGTTCAGCTCAATTACTGGCCGATGCAAGGAATCTTTAGTTAACACAGGGCAGAGCCGCTAGGCCCACTAAAGGTTTCTCTATCTGCAGTGGCCTAGGGGAATCTGACAGCCTCTTAGATAACCAGACCTGAGGGATGGTAAAGAACGGAGTCGGGAAAGACAGAGGCTACTGTGACCTTTCGTTTTAGCAGGAAATTATAATTATTACGAGTGAAGTGACAGAGAGAAAAGTGATGTCAGAAACAATATAATATATAGTGGTTTTTGCCAGAGATTGTGAGACCTGAAAGAAATTTTTAACAGGAACCTCAAGGCCTGGGTTCTCTGCTATTAAGTCACTGTGTCTGGAACTGAGTAATTGCAAAATAAATATCTGTTGAGTAAGTCGCCCTTTGAGCTTGGACAAATTGCTGACTTCATCTGAAAAGTGAGAGTGTGGGATTATTATTGGTTCCCAAACCTGGCGCTGATCATCAGCGTCATTTAGGAAGCTTTTTGAAACATACTGATTCAGTAGGGCTGGGTGGGGCTCATAAATCTGTGTTTTTCTAAAGTTCCCTGGGTGCTTCTGATGCTGAGGCAGGTTGGAAACCCCTAAACTAATTGAAATGACCACTAAGATTCCTCACTAGGCAAAAGTCATAGACTGATGAGGCTCAGAGTTTGCGGGCACCTAAAGAGAACACAGGGATGCTAGGGATAGAGAATAGCCTTGCTCCAGGTAGTGAGGTGTCCAGCCAGGGAGCTGCTTCTGTCTCCCTGTGCTTGCTTTGCTCTGATGCCTTGTCCACAGGGCCCTGAGAGCAGGCGGAGGTCTCTGGGGAGAACACGTGACATATGCCACCATCTTGCAAGAGTTGAAAGCAAATAGTCTCGGTCCCAGCATGCCATCTGGAAACATGTCACTTTCTAATGGAGAAATTGTCTTTGTCCTAATTTTTACTGTAACAAGCAGAGATACACGTAGGAACTTCTGAGAGCTGCATTAACTCTTTCAGCCACAGGGTGTCATTTAGTTCAGTGAAGGAGCTGTTAAAGCAGTTTAATAAATGATTGCCTCCGGGCACTCACAGTCATCCCTGGGGCCTGCAAGAGTTAATGCACGTCTCAGAAGGACTCAAGATGAAGCCCCCTGTGAAGTGAAATGGAATATTTGGTTGCTGATATTTTTGATAGCCTGATACAGAGGGGAGAACCTCTGTGAGAAGGTAGATGTTTCCGTCGCTAATCTCAGCTCTGCTGTTACCTTGTCGTAGCAGAATTCTTTAAATGATTAAATGAGATCAGCATACATACTTAATAAGCATAAATGTTTTAATCAATTTAATGTCTGTGACAAGCGAGAGGCATTGTTTATTATTAATTAGAATGAATAAAAATAAAGCATGAAGTAAAACTGATATCCTTTTCCTCTGAACCTCAGATGGCGGTAATAAGCCAAGGCTTAAAGTCATTATTTGAAGGTTACAAACCATTGATTTCTCTAACTTACAGACTGCTCATCTAAACCGAAATGATAAGTTATATCCAGTTAAAGTTGTTTGGATTTTTTTTTTAATTAAAAAAATACAAATATGATAAAAAGAGTAGAACATAAAGCCTGTTTTTATTAACCTGGGCCTGGCTGCATGAATATTTTCTGTTATACAGACATATAAGTTATTTAATTAAAAACATCTGCATATACATATTGATGCCCTACCTTGAAAATATAGAAACGTAATTCTAAATTACGCTGCAGATAGAAGGTGGAGGATTGAGTCTTACCTGTCCTGCTCGGACAACTTACTTCACTCCTTTGGGCCTCAGTTTATTTAGCAATAAAAAGAAGCAAAAAAATTCTCCTATTTCTCCCATCAACCTCACAGGATGGTCCTGGAGATCAAGTGAGATAATGTAGGATAGTCCTTTATAAGATGTAAAACCCAGCACAGGACTTTGGAAGTTGTTCTGGATACTGGTTTGCAGTGGGTTCTCACTGGCACGCAGGGGCTGAAAAATGTTTCTCCTTGTTGCAGACAAGCAGAATGATGTGGAGATTCCATCTCCTACCCAGAAAGACCGAGAGAAGAAGAAAAAGCAACAGCTCATGACACAGATAAGCGGTGTGAAAAAACTAATGCATAGTTCAAGCTTGAACAATACAAGCATCTCACGCTTTGGAGTCAACACGGAAAACGAAGATCATCTGGCCAAGGTTTGTCTGAGCGGGGCGGTCGAGTGTGCGTGCAGCTCTTTGCCCTACGGCAGGTGGCCACTCAAAATTATCTACTAGAAAAGAACAGTGATCATTGTTGCTTTTCGATTAAATTATATGATAGGAAGCCTGGTGTGGCCTCTTTGTCCATTGCTGGGCACCAAATTCAAGACCCTTTCCTACAACAAAGGAGCTGTATTTTTTTATTCAGAGTTGGATTTGTAAATGGAAGTTCCTCATGAGTGCAAATCCTACCAGAGGCACACTGGGAGAAGCCACAGGGCAGGCGACAGGAGACAGGAATGAATTGTCCCAGAGGACAGATCCAGGACTCTATGCCAAAGACTAGTTGGAAAATCCGCACTGATTGGCAGAGCTGGAGAAGAAATGAGAGAGGTCGACAGCACTGACTCAGAGCCCAAACCCTACCAGTGGAGGAAGGCACAGAAAGAATTCACACATTCCCCTAGGGGGCTGCCTAAGGTGACCACTAAGGTCCTTGCAGTCTTGTGACAATAGAAAATGGGCAAACAGACATTCAGTGAGGCTTTCTGAGAGATGCAATTAGAGCAAGGGGCAGGTCTCTGGAGAGAGCCTAGATCCCTTATTCTGGGCAAGAATTCAGAATGGAATAAATTACTCCTTTAATCAGATAATCTTGGAATAATCCCACAGTGCAAGACTGAATAATGTTTCTCCCAAGTCTATCTGTGGGCCCAAGAGCTCTAAGCTAGAATAATCCATGGTTGGCATTCTTTATGACCTTTTACATTAAATTAGGGTTGACTTCCGCACATTCCAGCAACTGAGTCTCCCCGACCGGGCCCTTTGTGATAATAACCAAAGGGCAAAGGAGTTCCCCTAAGATGGTTTTCTAGCTGTTACTACTGGGCCAGTGATCCGTGAAGAAGAGAGACAGGGAAATGGAGCTAGAGGGACCCCTAGCCACTTGCAGCTACCTCTGAATGCCACTTGGTTGAGGACTGATGTGCGGCAAATACAGGTCAACAACTAAATCTATATATTAGACACACACTCTCTCTTTTCTGAAAAAAAAAAAAAAAAATACAGAAACTTGTAACTACAATGAAGAGGACACCCAACCTCCTAGGCCATTCCATTTTCAAATTTTCATGCAACTAGAACACTCTAAATAGACACTCTAAAGACTTAGACAGCCATTGTCCAAAAACAAAATAAAAATAATGAGGCATGCTAACAAACTGGCCTTATTCCTAAATTCCGCTGATTTTGATTACAGGAGCTGGAAGACCTGAACAAATGGGGCCTTAACATCTTCAATGTGGCTGGATATTCACACAATAGGCCCCTCACATGCATCATGTATGCCATATTCCAGGTGAGTGAAAGGAGAGAGTATTGCTTATTGAATTCGATGGCTCTTTATGATTTTTTTTCCATCCCAGTTTATTTTCCTGATTTGACTTTTTCCTCATTTTTGGACATCGACTTATGTATTTTCTAATCCATTTTACTACATAGGAAAGAGACCTCCTAAAGACATTCAAAATCTCATCTGATACATTTGTAACCTACATGATGACTTTAGAAGACCATTACCATTCTGATGTGGCATATCATAACAGCCTACACGCTGCTGATGTAGCCCAGTCAACCCATGTTCTTCTTTCTACGCCAGCATTAGATGTGAGTAGTTATGATGTGTTTTGCATACCTGCCCATCCTCTTTTACAAAGTGCTATACAACATGTAACATATTTACAGAAATAGTTGCACATGTTTGAACTGGTTCTTTATTATGTGTAGCATCCATAAATTGGGTTGCTAATAAAAATGAATGGCATTTCTACGTACACTGCTTTTGAATATCAGAGTAACTCTCTCTTAATGTCTCTTATGATTGAAATTGTTTAATTATCAAGTAATTAACAGGGTGCTTTATTTTTTTTTAATTTTTTTTTTTTTAAGATTTATTTATTTGACAGAGAGAGACACAGCGAGAGAGGGAACACAGGCGGGGAGAGTGGGAGAGGGAGAAGCAGGCTTCCCGCGGAGCAGGGAGCCCGATGCGGGACTCGATCCCAGGACCCTGGGACCATGACCCGAGCCGAAGGCAGACGCTTAACAACTGAGCCACCCAGGCGCCCCAGGGTGCTTTATTTTTTTAAGATTTATTTATTTGAGAGAGAGAGAGTGCACACAAGTGGGGCTAGGGGCAGAGGGGGAGAGAGAATCTCAAGCAGACTCCCCGCTGAGTGCAGAGCCTGACACGGGGCTCAATTTCATGATCCTGAGATCATGACATGAGCAGAAATCAAGAGGCAGACGCTTAACCGAATAAACCACCCAGGTGCCCCCAGGGTCCTTTATTTTTCTTTGCATCTCCAGTATCTAGTAAGTGTCCAGTTCAGCATCTAGTATGTAGTTTATCCTAAGTATGCATATACTGATCTTAACTGCCCACACCATCCCAAACACTGTGAAGGATAGCACAGAAATATAATATAAAATGTCCTATATAGTTCCTGTTGGGAATAAGCATCCATAGGCTTAGTCTCCTAAGAATTCATAAAACTGATTCTATGGGTTGAAGAAAAAGTAACTGAATATCTAGAACTGAATATCTAGAATTAATAATGCTGAAGCAAAGGGGAGCAGTGTTCCATTTTGCTAGACATCTTGCTAGAAGGTGGCTCTGACTCCTTCCTTAGTAGATTAATGCATTTCCATGCACCAGTGTTAGCGGTAATGTGCCCAGCAGCCCATATTCTTCTTTGACATACAGCAACGGTAGTTAGGTTCTTCCAAAATGTGTAGGCTCACTACAGAAGGGGACTTGCCAACCCCTATCCAGCCCCACCATATTCACAGGTTCAGTTTGGAAGGTGAAAAAAGATTAAACTGGCCACAACTCTATTGTTTGGGTTCCATATTTCCTGAGAAAAGAAATCCAAGAGGTCAGGAAAGTGAGATGGAGCTGAGGCTGTTTTATCCCCTGAAGGAGAGAAACAGTATTATTTGTATGTTCTGTATAAGGATTATAGAGTGGGTCAACACTGTTTGTCAACTACCCTCTGTTATTGATAGGATACCTATTGTGTAGCCGGAAATTGACCACTGGGGGCCACACGTGTTTAGAGAAGGGAGAGCTCAACGTGTCCTTGAGCAGTTAGCCTTCACGGGAGAGGTGGACACTGAGCTGGCATTTGAAGGATCAGAAGATGTAAGTAATCACAGAGGATGAGGACAGACATTACAGCCAGAGAAAGACCATTTAGTCAGAAGGAATGTATATTTACACAAATGCTAGGTTTAAGTTATCGTGTACAGATGGGGCAGAAGAGGCTTCGCAACATGGCATGAAGGAGTGGAGCAGTGAGGCATTAGGTTTCACTTCTTAGGCAAGTTCTCAGATCTTGCCCATAGTAAACATTTAGCACATAGGAACTGAAGGAGTGGATGAATGAATGAATATATGAAAGCTTCTGATCACACTACAAATTTAGCTTTGGGAAATAATTTATTGCCAGTCTTATGAGTTTGGAATTTAGCCTTTCTTCTTTAAGTTACTCAGCCTGAAAACATGAATGTTGTTGTATCTCAGTGCAGAGCCAGTCTGACTTTCTTTTTTGACTTGTATGTGCTCGTGTTACATAAGCACCATTCTGCCGTACACCTGATCCAGGAAACAAACATCAGGCCCCACCTGATCACTCATCATGAGCATGGTGCTAATGCCTTCCTATAAGCTCGATGTGGGCATGGGCTTACGCCATCATCCCTTTCACATTAGACCTTATGATGATGGATAGAATCTACATTTAATTAGTGCATTGAGACATTATACCACATCAGCAAACAATCCTTCTCCCAACAAGAATGAAACGGGATACTTTAATATGAAACTGAATAAGCAGGATAGGCCAATGGGACATAGAGTTAAATGTGCTCGTTTTGTTCTGCAGGCCGTCTTCACCGATTTGGAAATTCTGGCCGCCATTTTTGCAGCTGCTATCCATGACGTCGATCACCCTGGAGTCTCCAACCAGTTTCTCATCAACACAAGTGAGTTCACTACTGGAACAGTCATTTGAGATAATTGTATGATTCGTTGCTTCATTTTTTCCCCCGTAATGTTTTCATTATGGATGATAATAAGGGTAATAATGAGGTAATCCTTCCATTCCACTCAAGCTGGTCAGACCTTTCCTGGATACTGTGTCCAGTCATGCATGGAGAACTTGCAAAGGGTCAGAGGGGAGCCATAAAAAGTACTCTACATTTGGAAAATACAATACATGAGGAAAGACTAACAGATGTGGGATTATCCAGTAAAGACAAAAAAAGGCTTGGGGATAACGTGATAATGATTTTCAATTTTATGCGGGACTCTCACATAGAACATGGTGACCCACTGGTGTCCCTCTTTACTGAGGAGAAAGGCCAAAATGAGCATGGGAACCTCCAAAAAGAAATAAGACTCCAAAGAAAGCACTGGAATGCTTGGTCTATAGTAGGGAAGATGACCTCAGTGACATTTAGTGCGGGTCCAGTCTTAGGATCCCAAGCTATACTCAGTGATTTTGTCATGCTGAAGATGTTTAGTATCCATGCTAATGAAAATCCATGAATTTTCTCAGTTAGTGCACTATTTCTAAAAGCTAAAAATCTCAGCACTTTTTCTTCTGAGAATATTGGCTATACAGTTGTGGTCATCATTAACATCAAGTGCTGATGGTTTTATAGAAATGTTTGAGCTCCTTGCTATAAAAGAGTCCCTGTCCTACTTTATCATCAGAATATCTGAATGATCGGGTGCCTGGGTGGCTCAGTCGGTTAAGCGACTGCCTTCCGCTCAGGTCATGATCCCAGGGTCATGGGATCGAGTCCCACATCGGGCTCCCTGCTCTGTGGGGAGCCTGCTTCTCAACCTCTCCCACTCCCCCTGCTTGTGTTCCCTCTCTCGCTGTATCTCTCTCTGTCAAATAAATAAATAAATAAAATCTTAAAAAAAAAAAAAGAATATCTGAATAATCTAGATGTGGTGTAGATTCATTTTTAACCTTGTTCTTCTACTGAAAGAATAGAAACTTCAGGCAACTACGTAGCTATTGGATTATATCAGCGGGCATAGTGTGTGTCACATATCAATCTATATACTGGCCAGGTAGCTTCACACAGAAAAAAGTGGTCTTTCTGTTACAGCCACCGACAACACTAGAACATAGAAAGCCAGTTTGCCGATCTGGGATTGATTACAGGTGAACAGGGCAGGAGTGCTGAAATGACTTCATATATCCCACCACGTATTCTGAGGATGTAACATGAAGAACGCAGTTAAAACAATGGTATATGAGTGACAACATCTGCAATGAGTAACCTCTCGCCATCACTTGGCTATTATTCTTTATTAAGAGAAAATGTTCCTTCTGGAATTTGTTGACCATAGTCTCCAGTGCAGACCAGGGCTCTACCTAACAAAAGATGTCTGTGATTCTTCTGTGTGAATGGCAGGCTGGAAGCTGTCATTTAGGTACAGATGTTACTATTTCTGACATATAGGGCCAGAGGATGGAAACTCTGACATCAAGATTGTTCTAAAAAATTATTAATGTTTCATTGCCATATTTGTAGAAAGCTCCAAAGAGCTAAATTATTTGGATAAAACAAAATCTCACACTCAACACTATTATCATCTTTGAAAAATTAGAAAGTCACAAGTGACAGGACTGGGGAATCTATAAAAAAGTGAAATAGTTTGAAAATGCTAATACATATGATAAAGTTGAGTGGCATTTTCCGTTTATTCCTTCCCAAAGCACAAAATGTGTGAAGACATAAAGGAAATTACAAACTGAGATAAAAATAGGGTTTAGTTGCTTGGAAATGCACTTACCTAATGTTAAATTCTTCATGTGAAATGAAGAAGAAGAAAAAGGATTTTAAAATACCGTGAATTTTAGTCAAGGAGAAAGCTTATGCACCAATATCTACGACAAGCATGTTTTGCTTGGAAACTGACTACTCCCCCTTGAAGAGGGCAACTGTTTCTCTGATGAGAAATGACATGTGAATCTTGGTTCCTGACATCATTTGGAGAGAACTGGATCTGATTTCACACTGAAGTCATGCCAGCATTGGAATTATAGCCCTTCCTTATTAAGTCATCATTTTTCCTTGTTTATCAGATTCAGAACTCGCTTTGATGTATAATGATGAATCTGTGTTGGAAAACCATCACCTTGCTGTGGGTTTCAAACTGCTGCAGGAAGAACACTGTGACATCTTCCAGAATCTCAGCAAGAAGCAACGCCAGACGCTCAGGAAAATGGTTATCGACATGGTAAGACTTCCTTTCGACATCCTTCACTTACCTTTCCCTTCTCAGGAGGAGAAACACCATTCTCTCTGATAAACTGAGTTTCCTGAGAGTTTCATTTTCCTTTTACCCTAGGTGTTAGCAACGGATATGTCCAAACATATGAGTCTGCTGGCAGATCTGAAGACAATGGTAGAAACAAAGAAAGTTACAAGTTCAGGTGTTCTTCTCCTGGACAACTACACGGATCGTATACAGGTATTTGATGAAAGCCTTTGATTTACCACAAAGCCAAACCAAACTAAACCAAGCAACAGTTAAAAAATGAAAACAAACATCAGTCCAGTTAGTCTCATATCTGGTTATTATTACAACTTGGGCTTATTTTCAGAACAAGCTAAGGAAAATGGACATTCAAGTTTATCCTCGAATTTATCAAGAAAAACATAACCCTATTTATTGAATTGCTGAGTTCTAAAAATAAATGGCAAAATTCATTTGTAATAGGGGATACGTGACTGCTGGTCCCCAAAGCTCGTGTTTGGATATAAATCCCATTGACTTGAAGACTGTTAGGTCTGTTTTGATTATACAAACTGCCATCAGCTGGTCTCTTTCCACAAGTGGAAAATATGAAGACATCTACTTTGAGTAATTCTTTGCATTTTTTCCAAACTGGGAAAGGGAAACGATGGTAGCATTTGACCTCTAATGTCCCTTCCAATTTTTACATTCAATGACTGTCAATCTGAGAAGACACACATTTTCCCTTGCAGGACTCCTGTAATGGTAAATAAGCAAGTCTGGCCAGCGTCACTGTAATTCCATTTTTTGGTGCGCACACCACAATTATAATGCAACTAAAATGTTCCTGGGTTTGGTACCAAATGTACTAGTACAAGAGGCATCAGATGTTCTGGTAGTATTTACACTGTCTTTTATGGGATTTTCAAAACTCGATGATTCCAGGTCCTTCGCAACATGGTACACTGTGCAGACCTGAGCAACCCCACCAAGTCCTTGGAATTGTATCGGCAGTGGACAGACCGCATCATGGAGGAATTTTTCCAGCAGGGCGACAAAGAGCGGGAGAGGGGAATGGAGATTAGCCCAATGTGCGACAAGCACACGGCTTCTGTGGAAAAATCCCAGGTATCTAATATGAAATTTTCAAAGTTTCTGTGAGCTCTGCTGATTCTAGAACTGGAGGGTTCTAGCTAATTCCTGAGGTTATAAGGAAGCAACGACCCATTTAGTTCCATTCTACTTGTGACTCATTTGCCTTCTCCATTACACTAAATTTCACAGGGTGGAGGCAAAGCCGTACTCAGAAACTCATCGAAGTTTGGTCTCTGTATTCTCAAGCAGTTTAAGAGAGTTGCCTATGACCTTAGCAAATCCAGCTGACTGAACTCAGAGCTGCTGCCTCCTCCCCATCCCTCCAGATTTCTCTTATCCCTGTCCTTATCCAGGAGCTCAACTCTTCATCCTTGCTTCCTCCGCCCTGTGTCTGTTGTCTCTCCATAATCAAGTGCACGGCCAAGGGTGAATCTCATCCTGCATACCTCTTCTACCTCACAGTCGACGCCCTTTCCCGTGTCCCCTTCCAAGGTTGCTTCTCTACCTCTGAGGACACACTGACATCTTTGGGTTGTGTCCAAAGCTACAAATTCCCTGCGTGCCGAGGACTGGGGACAATATGCTGGAGGCAGGGGGATGCAGAAATGCCTCAGATACTTCTAGCTGATACTGGAAAGTATCGATAGCCCTACAAAGGCTTCAGGGCCTGCTGAAATGTTATTTTTTTTTCAGGGCAACATATAGTCCTGATTGAGAGGGTCTATAGGCTATTCCAGGTCTTTATCACAAAAGCATGAGGAGGGCTTTTTGTTAGTGTTTATCCTCTTTCCCTGCTACCTGCTACCCCCAAACTTACATATACTTATAATATCAATGCAAAGTACCCTTGCAGTTATGATTTTAAAGATTTATTTATTTATTTATTTGACAGAGAGAGACAGCTAGAGAGGAAACACAAGCGGGGGGTGTGGGAGAGGGAGAAGCAGGCTTCCCGCTGAGCAGGGAGCCTGATGCGGGGCTCGATCCCAGGACCCTGGGATCATGACCTGAGCCCAAGGCAGACGCTTAACTGACTGAGCCACCCAAGTGCCCTTGCAGTTATTATTTTATTGTTTTTTTTAAAGGAACCCAGTCAAATGAGTTTAAAATCTGTGAAAGTGCTCTAAAAGTCTAATATGCTATAAAAATGCATGCTAGCATTCAGTTGTCAGGGCCAATTCAAATCCCCTAAAGCCTTAATTTGAACAATTAGTTAGTTAATTAATTAATTAAAATAATGCCCAGTTATTATCAACAGTGATGTTGTATATTTATATGGTGTTCTATGTGGTTTTCCACACATTTTCCCAGAACTTGTCCTGTTTGAACCCCCACACAGCTTTGTGAGATAGACACAACAGCTATTTTCCCCATGCATCAGGTGGAGAAGCTGTCCCCTTAGCTCATTTCACCAGCTCCCAAGTGACCCAGCTGCCCTCTGCCCAGAGCTCTTCCCTCTCCATCACTGTAGCAGGTCTCCCTGTTGCCATGACATCATGGTCCATTCTGGTGTTTCCCGCAGATGGGCTCTGGCAAGCATTGTCTGAGTCATCTGGCAATAAAGCCCTTGACTAGGTGCTGTTAGGATTTGTAGAGCTCTCTCATCCCAGGGCCCAGCAAATAAGCAACTAGAGGCTACCGTTCAAAAAAGTTCTGAGCATTTAGCAGAAGCAAAGCAAATGAAGAAAGGAAATGATTGCACGGTGTTCATCTCATTCCATTTTCTCCATTGCCTTGAGCTTGTTTTTTCAGGTCCCTGGAAAACACCTTGAAAATAGTCTCTCAAATCCATTAAATACACATAAAGAAGGAAAAGGGAGTGGGTGGAAGCAAGAGAAATATCTGAATCATCTGCAGTCAAGTTCCAGTGCAGATCAGAGATGTCCCTGACTTTGGTGTGAGTTATGTTAAGACTAGGGAAGCACCAGGGAGGAGAAGATAGACGATAGATAGGTCAATAGATAGGTGATAGATAGATGGATAGATGATAGATATAAATATATAGATACAGGTAGATACAGATATAAAAGAGTCACATATGAACTTTGATGTATTAAATGATTTGCCAAAAAAAAAAAAATGATTTGCCAAAAACCAGAATGTTGTTAAAGGAAAGGTTTCCAGGGGTGCCTGGGTGGCTCAGTTGGTTAAGCGACTGCCTTCAGCTCAGGTCATGATCTCAGGGCCCTGGGATCGAGCCCCACATCGGGCTCCCTGCTTGGCGGGAAGCCTGCTTCTCCCTCTCCCACTCCCCTTGCTTGTATTCCCTCTCTTGCTGTCTCTCTGTCTCTGTTAATTAATTAAATAAATAAAATCTTAAAAAAAAAAAAAAAAGGTAAGGTTTCCAGTAGTGTGGAAAGAGAGCTGTATCATGTCCCATGGATGCATATACGTTGCTCTTGCTCATTTACCTCTGCATCCGGACCCAGCATCTCTCCAGTCCCCCAGACCAGGACAGGGGAATTCCATTCCCTCATTCAACTAGTGCCTATTCTTTTTCACAACCTGCCCCCACCCCCAGTGTTTCCTGTTTGTCTGACAATGGAGAGGTCAGCATAAGGCCACAGAGCCAGCTCATGCAGGATGCATAGCCCCTGTGTAAACCATAACAGAGCCATAAGCCTCGTATTTATTCACAGGAACACTAGCAAAGGAACTGCTTAATTGTTTTTATTTTCCCTCCTTTCTCCTGATGGAAGTGACCGTACCCTGTGGATCTAAGACAATTGCAGACATGTCCACAGAGGGGAAATTTGTTTGTTTAGGCACTGGAAGTATATTCAGATGTTTTACCAAAGTCGTCTACAAACAAAAGCATTCCACGGAACTTGAGAAATTTCAGTCATCAGGGGCTGTCTCCTCTTCATTTTGGAATGGCAGCATATTTTAAATCTATCAGGGAAAGAATCTTGAGTCAGAAATCATTAGACCTGGAGCTTCCTTCTTCGGAGAATGACTCACAGAATCCAAGTAGTGACAAAGTCATTCCCAACCAGAGTTACATCCAGACTTCTTATCTGGCACACAGAAGATGAAAAGTAGTCAGTTATAGTGAGACAAACACAGGCTTGGGAATCAGACGGAGCTGGGTCCAAGTCCCAGCTCTACCACTTACCGGCTCTATAATCTCTGACAAGATATTTCATCTCAATGAGTCTTAGCTTCCTCCTTTGTAAAGGGTGGGTAACAATACTTACCTTGCGGACGTAAGAGCAATAATGTATATATTACATCCAGGGCATGGTGTACCGTATAGTATGTGCTCAAATAGGGGAATCCATCATTATTGATCTCTCTTAGCTTGTTGTGCCTCTTTCTTTGCCTAGAAACCAGAACAACTTGTTTGGTTTTCAAGAGCCCGTCATAATAATCGACATGTAACCTTATTTTTTTCCAGGTTGGTTTCATTGACTACATCGTGCATCCACTGTGGGAGACCTGGGCAGATCTGGTGCAGCCTGACGCCCAGGACATTCTGGATACATTAGAAGATAACAGGAACTGGTATCAGAGCATGATACCCCAGAGTCCCTCCCCACCGCTGGACGAGCAGAACAGAGACTGTCAAGGTCTGATGGAGAAGTTTCAGTTTGAACTGACCCTTGAAGAGGAGGATTCCGAAGGCCCTGACAAAGAGGGAGAGGGTCACAATTATTTCAGCAGCACAAAGACACTTTGTGTGATTGACCCTGACCATAGGGATTCGCTAGGAGAGACTGATGGAGACACTGGGGCAGAAGACAAGTCCCCGACTGACACATAATTGCCTTCTCCGTGTGGAGATGAACATTCCACCTTTACCAAGCATGCCAGCTGGACAGTAGGGCCAGCCCATCATGGGGGCGTAGGCCTGCACGGGACAAGGGCCATGTGGCCTTTCCAGTTACTTGAGTTGGGAGCCAGAATGCGAGACCATGAAGCAAACAGCAGTTCAGAAAATCCCACGGTTGACTTGCCTTGTTTGCAAGCTTAGTGGAGAGCTGAAGCTTTATCTGGTACTGGAGGCCAAGGTCAGATCCTGAGTAAATGGCTTGAAAATGGAAGACACAAAACTGAGAGATTTTTTTCTGCACTAAATTTTGGGAATCTGTCCCCCCTAGTGACTGAACTGACTGATTAATAACTTCATTTATGAACCTGCTCACCTGTCCCCTTGTCTGCCAACCTGTGTGCCTTTTTTGTAAAACATTTTCACGTCTTTAAAATGCCTGTTGAATACCTAGAGTTTAGTATCAACTTCTACACAGATAAGCGTTCAAAGTTGACATAAACTTTTTTGACTCTTTCTGGGGGAAAAAAAAGGAAAGAAAATGGTCTTCCTTCTTTCTTGGGCAATATCTTTCACTTTACTACAGTTACTTTTGCAAATAGAAAGGATACGCTTCTAACCACATTCTACTTCCTTCCCCTATGGTCCCATCCAGCTTCACAGTTGCCCGTATAACTTATCTCTGTCTGCCTGCTTACAGCAGTATTTTTTTTCTCCTCTTAGAACTTCACTTTTTGTGCTGCAAACAGAATAAAAGTGAACAAACTAAGAGGTAGGAAGGGGTAGTCATGTCATTCCCAATAACAGTCTGTGTAAAATTCAGCTCGATGAGGCAGTGCGCCATGTTGTGTCCCGTAGCCCTGAGCCACTGGGCCCCGCACACACACCCCATCCTGTCCCCTCCCCCCTCGTTCTCTACCCAGTGACACACCGTTTCCAATTCGATGCTGCCGTCTTTCTCTTGAACTGCCTTCTGCGCTAACACCTCCATTTCTGTTTATAACAGTATATTTATTACTTCATGTATATAATGTAATGTTTTGTAAGTTATTAATTTATATATCTAACATTGCCTGCCAATGGTGGTGTTACATTTGTGTAGAAAACTCTGCCTAAGAGTTGCGACTTTTCTTGTAACATTTTGTATGGTGTATTATATAACCTGGAAATCGCTTAAGAGAGACATACGACCCCCTCCCCGGTGAGGACATCTGTGGGCTTTTATTCAGAAGGTCTGCCCTCTTCCCTGTCGGAGTTGCTCATACTGCACAACCCCTTTGTGAACCAGTTTTGGAAATAGGATTCTCACATTCGATACTAAATGGTTTATACTGAGCTTTTACTTTTGTATAGTTTGATAGGGGTAGGGGGCAAGGGGATGTAGTTTTCACCCATGTTCTATCCAAATCTGTGTCCGCGTGAGTTGGGTTATAACTGGGTTCTACTCTCATTGTGGCTTTGGTTTAAACAGCAACACTACATTTGCTCACAGACGGTTCTTCTAAGTGTTCCCAAACTACTGATTTTGAAGCAAAAGCCTCCTGCCAGCCGTTAAGCAGGAATGTCATGTTCCAATTAATTACAAAAAAAAAACAACCAAACAATAAAACAATGTGAATTTTATAATAAAATGTGAACTGATATAGTAAATTATGCAAATGTGAAGCTTCTGATAACACTTGTTAGGCCTCTCATTGGCTTCCGTCTCCCATTTGTAAAATATATTCCAAGCTTTCAGTTCAGCATTGTAACTCACTAGTTAAAGAAATGGCACAAATGTGCATGACCAATGGGTTTGTATGTCTATTTACACTGCATATTTCAGGTGGACATTTTATTGTTTTCAAAAGTTTCTCACAATGTATGTTATAGTATTATTATTATATATTGTGCTCAGATGCATTCGTAAGAGACTTTTATATGAAGTGAATAAACAAAAGCATGATTAGATTAGACTGTAGGCCCAATTATTTTGTGGTTAGTTCTGACCTATTAAAAGCAGATATTTCTTTCTCTTCTCTCCTACCCTACCCCACAGAGAAAACCAACCACTTTGCCTGGCCAACCTCTCAACTGAAGTTTCAGAATCTGTGTCCAAAAAGTCCCCTAGCTTGGAACGTTTCACATGTTCTTAGCAAATATCCACACAGCTCAGTGATGCGGGAGGTGGTTAAAGAAAAGCAAACAAAACCACTGTAAGAATCTGAAAAGTTTAATCCACTAGATAAACCAAGGGAATCTCCAACTTGGCTGGGTCCTCCAGAAAAATGAATCATAGCATCACAGAACATTAGCTTCATGTAGTCAAATGGTCCCACTGATTCAGTTGACACATGAAGAATCTGAGGTCCAAAGAGTCATCTTCAAGCACCATTGACAGAGCACTGGTTCATGGTCTTTTCGATGATTCATGGAGTCTCCTAATGGTCATATGGTTATGCTTTTCTTTCTGGAAAGAGCTTTATAAATTTCATAGGCAGAATACTTAAATGCTCTGTTGAAGTTTTAAAATCAGCTTTAAAAAATGTTATCCTGGGGCACCTAGGTAGCTCAGTCGTTAAGTGTCTGCCTTCTGCTCAGGTCATGATCCCAGGGTCCTGGGATCAAGTCCCGCATTGGGCTCCCTGTTTTGCGGGAAGCCTGCCTCTCCCTCTCCCACTCCCCCTGCTTGTGTTCCCTCTCTCGCTGTGTCTTTCTCTGTCAAATAAATAAATAAAATCTTAAAAAAATAAAATAAAAAATGTTATCCTAAGAAGTGTGTGTGTGTGTGGTGAAAGGCCACAAACAAGAATCAGCAGGTAACGTAATATTTTAACCACAGGGAAATGTTTGTGAACTAGTAAGTGGGTCTGCTCTAGAAGAATTCCACTCAAGAAACTAAATTTCCTGAATTTCTTTACAAAGACAAGATGAGCCAACATTGCGGAACCAGTCTGCCTGCCGGTTGTAGAGCTGATGTTTACGGTACTTAGCTACCATCCCTGATTTCTGATTCCACCCCCATCCCTGAGCTCTTACAGATTAAGTGACAAAGTGAATTGGTTAGCATAGTCACAGGTGTGACTTTTATAAAGTCTACAGCTATAAATATTTATAAATATGTGCAGGTATGTTTTCTACAGGGAAATGTTTTTTAATCCTTGCTGCAAATAAGAATCACCTGGAGAATAAATTTTTAAAAAAATTATTAATGTTTGGGTCCCCTAGATTCTGTTTGAATTCCCAAGAGCCCTGGGGACCAGATTTTAAAAATTTTCCCCAGGTGCAATTTGAGTGGAGAGCTATCGCTCCTGAAGAGAGAGTCATGCTTGGAGCTAAGGCTTTTGTCAGTACGTTCAGGCTGCTATGGTAAAGCACCACAGACTGGGCAGCTTAAAAACAACAGGAATTTATTTCTCACAATTCCGGAGGCTGGGAAGTCTAAGATTAAGGTACCAGCATAGTCACGTTCTGGTGAGGGCCCACTTCCTGGATCATAACTGGTAGAAATAGACTCCTCACTTGGTGGAAATGGCTAGAGATCTCTCTGGACCCTTTTATTATAAGGCAGTAATCCCATTCATGAAGCCCCCACCCTCATGATTTAAACACTTCCCAGAGGCCTCTCTTCCTATTACCATCATCTTTGGGAGTTAGAATTTCAACAGATGAATTTGGGAAGGGACACAAACATTCAGGCCACAGCAAATCTCTTTCACTATGACTGTCTTCAGATATTGTCCACCCACCATGGCCAGGTGCTGGTTCAGGTACAGAGATGAGACCAGGCCTTAGAGATGAGTAAGATAGAGCTCTATAGTCCAGGAGCTTGCAGTCTGCTGTGTTGCTCACCATCTGCCCTAGAGACCACAAAATCATAATTTTGTTCTCAGGAAAACCACAACGAAGATAAATCTAAAAGAAAGTTAATCATCTGGTTCTATAACATAGGCCATAAGTGTAACCATTCTCGTATCTATGATGGCATATCAGTGTTCCTAGTGGCAGGGAACTACTGCAGAAGCAGAAATTACTGTGGCATCTCTGCCAAGGCTGAGTGTGATAGCTTAGTACTTAACAAAATGTGTAGGAGCCTAAGGCTGACTTACAGAGTCAGGAACTGTCAGAGTTCCAGAAGATGGCCTTCACTTGACCTTTTCCCACAGGCTTATTTTGACATGAGTTGGAAGTCTGGGACGTTCTTGTCCACTGAACAAAGCCTAATGGGGTTCAGGTGAAGGAGGGTGGTTTATTGCATGGATTCTGGAGCCAAGTGGCCTGGGTTTAAATCCTCTCTCCTCCATTTACTAACCATACGACTTTAGACAATTCACCTACTCTTTGGGCTTCAGCAAAATGGGGATTATTAATTTGTCAGGTGGAGGTAATAATCCCAGGCCTTTTCCACCATTCCACTGCTACTTCTCCGAGCCCGAGCCTGTGTCTTAGTGATTGATTAAATCAATGATCATGAGCTTTAAAACCTGTAAAACCCAGGTGGGGCAGGAAAGCTAGCAAATTCCTTTTATAAACCCACATTGTATGCATCCTGTACCCCTTGTGAAGAATTCTCCAAGCTGGTTCTCTCCCACATTCCTCAAGATTTGGATCAGGTATCCTCCTACAGGAAGTTTCCCTGATCCCCAAGGTTGGGATAAAGACTCTTACTTGAGCTCCTAGAACATCCTGTGCTTTACCTGTGTAATTAGCTGTGTAACCTTGGGCAAGTCACTTAACTCTCCTGTGCCTCAGCTTTATCATCTGTAGAATAAAGATAATTATAGTAATACCAAGATTATAGCAGGTTATGCAAGAATTACATGAGTTGATATACATAAAGTTCTGAGAAATATTATAATTATTAACACCTGCTATATGTTGAAGTTGGGTTTATGTCTTTTCCAAAAGACTGTAACTCATTGAAGTCAGAAGCTGGATCTTATTCCCTGTTGAATCTCCAATGCCCAATCCAATATCTAGAACAAATACACATTTGTCAAACTGAACTGAATCAAGTGGTTTTATGCAAGGGTAAAATGCAACCCCATGCCTAAAGCCTTTTAAACCAAAAAAAAAAAGGTGTTGGAAGGGGCACCTGGGTGGCTGAGTCAGTTAAGTGTCTGACTCTTGATTTCGGCTCAGGTCATGATCTCAGGATCATGAGATTGAGTCCTGCATCTGGCTCTGTGTCCAGCTGGGAGTCTGTTTGAGATTCTCTCTCTCTTATATTAATTAATTAACTAATGAATTAATTTAAAAAAATGTATTGGTTTCTGAGTCCTGGAATAAGGAAATCATGTAATTTTTTTTTTAAAGATTTTATTTATTTATTCATGAGAGACAGAGAGAGAGAGAGGCAGAGGGAGAAGCAGGCTCCCAAGGAGCAGAGAGCCCGATGTGGGACTCGATCCCAGGACCCTGGGATCATGACCTGAGCCGAAGGCAGACGCTTAACGACTGAACCACCCAGGTGTCCCGGAAACCATCTACTTTTAGAACCAAAGATTCCTCAGAGATCATCTGGTCTACCCCTTTATTTTTATAAACAAAGGAACTGAGGCTCAGACATGGCCAGTGACCTGCCTGAGATCACACAGTGTATTAATGTTGTAGAGCCGCCATAAACTAGTACTGCAAACCAGGGTGGGGAGGGTGAGGGAGTTGGGGGGTGTTAAACAGTGGAAATTTACTATCTCACAGTCCTGGAGGCTAGAAGTGCAAGGTTATGGTGGGGTCAGGGACAGTTCCTTCTGAGGGCTATGAGAATCTGTTCATGCCTCTCCCCTAATTTCTGATAATTTGGGGCAACCTTTGACATTCTTGGCTTGTAGATGCAGCACCCTAATCTCTTCCTTCATGTTTATGCAGCGTTCTCTGTGTTTGTATGCCTGCATCCAAATTTCCCCTTTCTATAAGGACACCAGTCATATTGGGTTAAGGGCCCACCCTACTCCAGTATGACCTCATTTTAACTAATTACATCTAATTAACTAATTGCATCTATTTCCAAATAAAGTCACATTCTGAGGTACTGGGGGTTAGGACTTCAACATAGAAATCTGAGGGAGGATATAATTCAAGCCATAATACACAGTTACTCACCAGAAGAGTTCCCAATTCCTTACTCAGGTGTCTTTTGTCAACATCATGGAGTTTGGGGACCTTAGACACCCATTCAACTTCTCTGCACCTCAAACTTCTCTCTAAAATAGAGGAAGAGCCTATATGTCTTAACAGGTGCTACCCAGTTATAAAAAGTTTAATGCTTTATACCAAGGCATTTTTGTTTTCTTAAGGTCTTTCTGAGTTCTTCAAACATATTAATTATTTAATTATTAATTATTTCCTTGGTGTAACTAGGTGTCACATGGAGAAGAGAAAGAAGCTTAGGGTAGTAGGAAAAACATAGCCCAAGGGTTAAGAGCTTAGGCTCTGAAGGTGAACAGACCCCAGTTCAAATCCCTGCTCTTCCACTTCCTAGCTGTGTAACGTGGGGCAAACAGTTAACCTCTTCAAGCCACAGTTCCCTCCTCATTAAAATGAGGAACATAATAGTGACCTTTTGATGAGGTTGCTATGAAGCCTAGTGGACAATGCATAAAAAGTGCCTCACTGTCAGCCATTATATATGGATATCAGCTAAGACTTCATTCCTTCCACAAATATTTATAGAACACCAATTATGTGCCAGGCACAGTATGATGAGCAAAACACACAAAGTCCCTGCCCTTATGAAATTTGTCTTTTTAGTGGGAGAGAAAGACCCCAAGGAAACAAGAAGATAAATACTACATTACTGGGTAGTGTGATATGTGCCACGGGGTTGGCAAGTGACAGTAGTTTAAGAACAATGGCTCTGGAGTTCCATAGCCCAGGTTAGAGTCCCAGCCTCACTCTTTGCTAATGGTGCAGACCCGGGTACAGCAAACACAAAGTGTGCCTGTCAACTTCAAAGAGCAGAAGGAACGCCAGGTAA